CCCATATAATCACTTAGCTTTATTTAGGGAATCAAGCCATTCTATTTTGGCTGAAGGTGGTTCCATCCCAGTAAAATTTACATTAAAATTTAGTGAAGATGGTTAGAGCTTCTGTGAAACACCAAATAGAATATAGTATTGACCAGGAATTCTAGGAAATAAAGAATATATTGCCATGCTTCTGGGGAATTTCTCACAACTATTGGACCAATGCTGTTTATTCCTAAGTACAGTCTTATGTGAAGTTGAGATACTTGCAGTTTGACAGTCATTCTTTCATTCTACAAATGTTTATTGATTGTCTACTATACATCAAACATTTTTGACAGACCCTGGCAATGCATTTGCAAATAAAATGCAGTTTCTAATCCAAGGAGCTTACCTGCTATTAAAGAAAGAGAGGGAAAAGTTGAGGAAGACAGGGAAAAATGGGCATGGGACTATGACCTAAGCAGATAGATGCTTAGGTGGCAAGCTAAATCAAATTTCTTATTATGATGAAAAGGTGATCTTCTTTTCAGGTATTGTAACTACTGGACTGCTAAAATCAATCTACTGTAAATACTCCTAATGGAATGGTGAAATTTCAAACATTTGCAGATTGATAACACCATGATACATGCCCTACATGCAACACCTTCAGTACTGTTAATAACAACTCAACCAAATATGGACCAACAACATTTTTCTAAGTTTTAAGCCCTGACTTGAGAGAGAATAATAAATGATCTTGAGATAGCTTTCAGCATATTTGATTTTATGAACTATAAAGTATTTTATCAGTTGAATAGTCTACCAAGTTCATTAAAATCTGTCCCTTAAAATGTCATATGAAATCAAAGGACTTCATAATATTTGATCATTAACATTATTACTAAGCATTTTAATTTTTATGGTTTTATTTATAATTATTTCAAATTGAAACTATCAAAAAACTACTGCTGTTTAAAACCTAGTCCATTTAATCAATTTTATTTTTCCCATGATGACTTTTTATTTTTACCTTTATTCTTATGGGAACCTTTATGATAGGACATTTATGATTCTATTCCTATGTACTTTGTTAGTGAAGAGATTAGATAAAAAACATTAACAAATACAAATAGCCATTGTTGCTGATATAATTTTCAGTTTTGCATGGTATATAGGTAGAATTCAAATGATGAAATAAGAAGTAACAAGCAATCACATAATGGTAACGATAACATTTGTTTGGTTCTAAATATTTTCACATGTATTTTCTCTCTTAATTCTTAAAGCAACCTGATAAAATAATTTTAATCACAACCATTTTACAGATGAAGAAAACAAGAAAGAAGTCATCTGCTAGATGTTGCATAAGCGGCATTTTGTACACCAAATCCAGGTTTTCAAACTCAACAATTATGGTTTTGTTCAGACTTTTTAAAAAAGCATTTAATTCGCAGGCCAAATTCTGTTGGCAAGTCACTTTCTAAGGGTAAGTAAAATATATGTGGAAGAACACTAAACATTTTATTCACCAACAATGTCATCATACTGAAACTGAGAATAGTGTACTTTCTAAATGGCCCATTTAAATCTCAGGAAGAAGTTATTTATCCATAGGGTCTGGACACCATCAATCAAAATCACTTGCTTGCCTATTACTGAAATGTGGTCCATAACCATCTTTCCTCTCTTCATACTGACAAATAAACATTTCATTTTTTATTAACCTTATTATCTAAATTTTTTCCTGCTTGTTAAAAATATAAAAAGAAAAAAATATCACCACTACTAAGATACTTCTAATATTTTATGTATTTTCTTAGTCTTTTTAAATGTAAAATATGCACATTTAATATTTTTATCACTCTTTACATATCTTTATATATCACTTTTTCATATATTAGCATGGTAATATTTACTTTTTTGAAAACCTGACTTTTTATGGCTGCATAGTATTTCATCAAATACTTGAAAAACAGAAAGGAATAAAACTAAAACCTATAATTCTTGTGTAACTTATCACTGTTGTGAGTTTTGCTTACTCTCTTCCATTCTTTTTTTATATGCCTATATGTCATCATTAAAATATACACAATTTTATATCTTGAAATTTTTTCCATTTAATATTATAAACCTTTGCATAACCACTGTGGCATGTTGGGTGAAAATTCCATACACTACAGAACCATAATTTTATCAACAATAAGTTGGTTTTCCTTTACTTTTTTTTTTTTTTTTGAGACAGAGTCTTGCACTGTTGCACTGGAGTGCAGTGGTGTGATCGCGGCTCACTGCAATCTCCGCCTCCTGGGTTCAAGCAATTCTCCTGCTTCAGCCTCCCGAGTAGCTGAGATTACAGGTGCTCCCCACCATGCCCAGCTAATTTTTGTACTTTTAGTAGAGACGGGGTTTCATCACATTGGCCAGGCTGGTCTCGAACTGCTGACCTCAAGTGATCCGCCTGCCTCAGTCTCCCAAAGTGCTAGGATTATGGGCGTGAGCCACTGCGCCCGGCCAAAAATAATTTTTCAATGAATATTGTATGCATGTAGTCTTTACATCTATGAGCTTGAAAAGTTATTTCTTAATAGTACATTCCTACAAGTAAGATTATTCAGAAAAAGCTGGCATGCTTTCATTATTCCTTTTGTGACATTGGTGGGTGAAAATAATGTTTATAAAAACCAAGAATGTTAATCTTAGACATGAAAGAATAAATAGCAACCTGATCTCTTATCAACCAATCCTTTTAGTGATTGTGAAATGCAGTAAAAAATACACCAAGTATTGACTATATTTGATATATTTTTCATAAATTAGTACATCTTGACATGAAGAAGTACTGAGAGATGTGACCATTTAAGTATGCTCACATTTTTATTTAATTTTTTTCATTTCAAAGTCTATATCCAAATACCTTTTAGATACAGTTTAGTTTGTTTTCCCCTTTGACATCTTAGATGTAGTTCTAGAAATGATTTCTGAAACTGCTTCCTTTGGCGTGCTCTGAAATCCACAACAGGAGACAGCAGTAATTCTGATACAAGGAGAAAGAAAATGCCCCAACTTACCGTTTCTAATGCAATTACACGGTCCTGCAAAGAAAGCATAATATATAATTATAAAACGAAGGCTGTTAAAAATTCTTTCAAGTTTACTTAATTTACAGGTATTCTATTTACCGTCTAGTATTAATAATTTTTTTAAAAATGTAAAAAATGAGAACTACTCAGAATGATCTCTATAACAGAAAAACAGTCATCAAACAATGACTGTACCTTTTTTCATCTCATTTAGTGTTAGGACTATAGGGTTTAAGAGTAAATACTACAATTCAATGAAAGGAATAGATCTTACCACTTTTGCAATGGTAAGATTATTTACAAGGATATAAAATGTTAGATTTGATTATATGAATCACAACTAGACAAGAGTAGTGATATAGACAAGGAATTAAGCACATATTTTAGCTCTTAATTAGGTATACAGTGAAAAAGGTGGTCTCCACAACAAGGTGAAATTCAGACATATCTTCATCAATTAAAATAAATGAGTAAATCATTATTGAAAACAAGGCAGGAAAATAAATCGGAAAGATATGGCACATGCAGCCAATCCTGAGCCCAGATAGGCCTTCGTTGTCTACAGCATCTTAGAATGTTTATATGATTGGCTTTAAAAGGGGTCATTGATAACAGTGCATCAAAAGTTAAATGATTAAGAAAATGTTTGTATTCTCAACTCCATAGTTGTATTCTCAAGTCTTTCCAGAGGTGACATCTATAAACAGGAAGTCTTTACCAAATAAAGACTGAATCTGAGACAAAGCAGAGTGTGAAGATTTAACAAAATGAAAAATCATCCTTTTTAAGGAGGACCGAGGCCATTTGTCTTTGTTTTCTCTCATTTTAAGAACTGGAGGAGGACGGGTGCAATGACTCACGCCTGTAATTTCAGCACTTTGGGAGGCTCAGGTGGACAGATCACAGGAGGCCAGGAGTTCAAGACCAGCCTGGAAAACCTGGTGAAACACCGTCTCTACTAAAAATTAAAAAAATAGCCAGGTGTGGTGCTGCGTGCCCGTAATCCCAGCTACTCGGGAGGCTGCAACAGGAGAATTGCTTGAACCCAGGAGTTGGAGGTTGCAGTGAACCGAGATCATGCCACTGCACTCCAGCCTGGGCAACAAAGCAAGACTACAGCTCAAAAAAATAAAAATAAAATAAAAGAACTAGAGGAAATATGTGGAATCTGGATTTTTAAAAATAATCATCTAAAGAAGCTAATGGTTAACACTGAGTGTCAACTTGACTGGATACAAGGATGCAGGGTGTTGATCCTGGGTGTGTCTGTAGGGTGTTACCAAAGGAGATTAGCATTTGAGTCAGTGGGCTGAGGAAGGCAGACCCACCGTTAATCTGGTGGGCACAATCTAATCAGCTGCTGGTGAATATAAAGCAGGCAGAGAAATGTGAAAGGGGAGACTGGCCTAGCCTCCCAGCCTACATCTTTCTCCTGTGCTGGATGCTTCCTGCCATCGAACACTGGACTCCAAGTTCTTCAGTTGTGGGGCTTGGACTGGCTCTCCTTGCTCCTCAGCTTGCAGACAGCCTATTGTGGGACCTTGTGATCGTGTAACTTAATACTTAATAACTCCCATTTTTATATATATATATATA